AAGGGGGTGCGGTGGAAACGGCTGCGCTTCCTCGTCACCATCCAGAAAGGGGGGGCCAAGCGGGACGGTGACAAGGAGATCGCGGAGTTCATCGACAAGCTGGGCACCACCCTGCGCCCTGAAAAGGTGCCGCGGGACCTGCGCAAGTGCTGCTTCTGCCACGAGGAGGGCGACGGGGCCACGGACGGGCCGGCCCGCTTGCTTAACCTCGACCTCGACCTCTGGGTCCACCTGAACTGCGCCCTGTGGTCCACGGAGGTTTACGAGACGCAGGGGGGGGCCCTGATCAACGTGGAGGTGGCCCTGCACCGCGGGCTGCTCACCAAATGCTCCCTGTGCCAGAAAACCGGCGCCACCAACAGCTGCAACCGCATCCGCTGCCCCAGCGTCTACCACTTCGCCTGCGCCATCCGCGCCAAGTGCATGTTCTTCAAGGACAAGACCATGCTGTGCCCCTTGCACAAGCTGAAGGGCCCCTGCGAGCAGGAGCTGAGCAGCTTCACCGTCTTCCGGCGCGTCTACATCGAGCGGGACGAGGTGAAGCAGATCGCCAGCATCATCCAGCGCGGCGAGCGGCTCCACATGTTCCGCGTGGGCGGGCTGGTCTTCCACGCCATCGGGCAGCTCCTGCCGCATCAGATGGCCGATTTCCACAGCGTCACGGCCCTCTACCCCGTGGGCTACGAGGCCACGCGCATCTACTGGAGCCTCCGGACCAACAACCGCCGCTGCTGCTACCGCTGCACCATCTGCGAGAACAACGGCCGCCCCGAGTTCGTCGTGCAAGTCATCGAGCAGGGCCTGGAGGATCTGGTTTTCTCCGACTCCTCGCCGCAAGGTGAGAGGCGCAGGCGGGGGAGCTGCGGGCGCCGGATCGCTGCCTTCTTTTATCCCCCCTGGTCCCGCTGACGGCTGAGCGCGGGGAGGTTGAAGCGCTGGGAGGTCGCGGGGTGGCTCGCACTGGGGGGTGGGGGCGCAGCTTGCAGCGGAGTCCCCACCTTCTCCATCCCTCCCTCCCCTCGGCAGCCGTCTGGAACCGGATCATCGAGCCGGTGGCGATGATGAGGAAGGAAGCCGACATGCTGCGACTCTTCCCCGAGTACCTGAAGGGCGAAGAGCTCTTCGGCCTCACGGTGCACGCCGTGCTGCGCATCGCCGAGTCGGTAAGTCCCGGGGTTCACCCCCGCTGGGAAGGGACCCGGTGGCCATGCTGGTGGGGCTGGGGCAGCCGTGGTGCTGCCGCTCGACCCACGGGGTGTGTGTGTGTGTGTGTGTGTGTGTGTGTGTGTGTGTGTGTGTGTGTGTCCCTCCTCCGCAGCTGCCCGGCGTCGAGAGCTGCCAGAACTACCTGTTCCGCTACGGGCGCCATCCCCTGATGGAACTGCCGCTGATGATCAACCCCACCGGCTGCGCCCGCTCCGAGCCCAAGATCCTCACCCACTACAAGCGGTAAGCGGGGCTGGGATCCACTGGGAGAGCTTGGGAGCCTTGGGGATCCCTCATTTCTCACCCCCCTTCCCCCCGCCTCTCGCTTTCCCAACCCCACCCCGGCAGGCCCCACACCCTCAACAGCACAAGCATGTCCAAAGCCTACCAGAGCACGTTCACGGGCGAGACCAACACGCCCTACAGCAAACAGTTCGTGCACTCCAAGTCCTCCCAGTACCGGCGCCTGAAAACGGAGTGGAAAAACAACGTGTACCTGGCGCGGTCCCGCATCCAGGGGCTGGGGCTCTACGCAGCCAAGGACATCGAGAAGCACACCATGGTCATCGAGTACATCGGCACCATCATCCGCAACGAGGTGGCCAACCGCCGGGAGAAGATCTACGAGGAGCAGGTGGGGTGTTGGGGGGCTCGGGTGGGGAGTTGGGGGGGCTCGGTGCAGCCGCTGACACCCTCTTCCCCCCCACCCCAGAACCGTGGCATCTACATGTTCCGCATCAACAACGAGCACGTCATTGACGCCACGCTGACGGGGGGCCCGGCCAGGTGAGCGCAGGGGGGTGGGATTTGGGGTGCTGGGACACCCACCCACCCCGCCAGCTCAGTGCTGACACCCTCCCTCTCTGTTTTCCTCCCCCCCCCCCCCCACCCCCAGGTACATCAACCACTCGTGTGCCCCGAACTGCGTGGCTGAAGTCGTGACCTTCGACAAGGAGGACAAGATCATCATCATCTCCAGCCGGCGCATCCCCAAGGGGGAGGAGGTCAGATGGGGGGGGGCGCAGTGGGGCGGGGGGGGTGCCCAGGGCCGGGCTTTGCACCGTGGGTGACTCCCCACTCCCCCCACACAGCTCACCTACGACTACCAGTTCGACTTTGAGGACGATCAGCACAAGATCCCCTGCCACTGTGGAGCCTGGAACTGCCGAAAGTGGATGAACTAGCTGGGAAAAAAAGGGGCTGGGGGCCACGGCCCCCACCTCGGAGACCTCGCCGAGCCCCCCCCCCGGGGCCGCGGGGTGCCAGGGCCGCCGGGCCACGGAGGAGGCTGCGGCGGGGAGGGCGGCCGCCACAGAACCACCAGCCCTGCCCGAGCGGGACGGACGGACGGACAAACTGGCAACTCAGGGTTTTCTTTGCTTCGTCCTGCGAGGAAAAGGCAGGGGGGGGGACACGCCCGGCAAGACCCCCCCTCGCCACCACCCACCGCCTGCCTCCCTCGTGGGGGAGCCACGGAGGAGCAGAGCGGTCCCAGCGGAGCCGGAGCGAGTTTGGAACCGGCCTGGATTTAATTTTTTTTTTTAATTTTTTTTTTTTTAATTTTTTTTTTTTTTTTCTAGAAACAAAACTAATAATATTTGCTCGCTAATTACCAAGGTAACACAGACTCCTTTGAGCTCGACAATCCGGGCTCTGCCCCGTCGCACCGCGGCGGCCAGAGCTCGCTCGGTTCCTTCGATCTCTTTTTGTTTGTGCGTGTGGACGAGACCCCCGGAGCGCGGCGGCGAGGGCCCCCCCCGACAGACACAAGGAGCTTCTGCACCCAAACCTACCTCATTTTAAGTGTTAGATTTTTTTTTTTTTTGAGTTTTTTTAATTTTTTTTTTTAGGTTTTTTTGTTGTTTTGTTTTGGTTTTTTTTTTTTCGGTTGTTTTTAAATGTGAGCCCCCCCGCCACCCATCTGGGCAGAGCCTCCTGCCCCACCAGGAGCTGGATGCCAGCAGGGGGGGAGAGATGGGGAAGAGAATCTTTCTCCTCTCCTGTGGGCTCCAGGGGATGTGTCCCCCCTCTCCCCGTCCCCCTCCTCTGGATGTGGCTGCAGATGGCCCCTCACTGGGGTCCCCAAGGTGGTGGTGGGGGGGCAGAGGGGGGTCCCCTGCCCTCATCCCCCCCCCACCCCAGGAGGTCCCAGCCGTGCGATGTGCCAAGGTGTGAGGTGGGACTGGGGGAGCGGGGGGGTGGGGTGCTGGACCTGCTCTCCCAGTGCTGGGAGGGACGGGTGGGCACCCCCCCCCACTCACCCACAGCACCCACAGCACCCACTGGCCGCCGTCAGCATGGGCTGGGGGGGGGGAAGGTTATTTATCTATTTATACCTTATATTGTATATACTAGACGGGGGGGGAGGGGGGCTCTTTGTGCTCTGCTGGGCTGAGATTTGGGGTGCAGGGGCAAAGGGGGGGCCGCGACATTTTTAAACCCAATCTCCGGGGTGAGGGGGGGGGACACACACAACACCCCGGTCTGGAGCCTCCTGCCAGGCGAGGAGTGTGGGGGGGGGGGCCCTTGGAGAGTGAAGCAGCGAGTGGGCATTACACACGGGGGCCCCCCCTGCCCCCCCGCACCGGCTGCGGGGGGCCCCCCCCCAACCCCCCCCGGGGGTCACCGCCTGCTTCCCCCCTCCCCCCCATCCTGGGGGGGCCCCACTGGGAACTCTTAACGCACAAACGCACGGCGCGGGGGGGACACACCCTCCTGTCCCTGGGGTCGTGGGGGGCTGAAAGGGGTCGGGCCTCCCCCCCCCTCCTCCCCTGGTGCCCCCCCCCCCCCTCCAGCGTGGCAGGGATGGCGCAGTGTGTGTGGGGGGGTGGGGGGTGGGGCCGGGCAGGGCCAGGGCGATCTTTAAAAGCTGCTTCCGCAACTCGTCAAAGCTGCAAAAAGGTTTAAGGTTAAAATGTTTAAAATGAAGAAAAAAAAAAAAAAAAAAAAAGAAAAGGAGGGGGGGGAAAAAAAAAAAAAAAGACAGATAAAAAAGTGAGAGTGGGGGTGGGGGATGAGAAAGTTTTAACAGAAAATATACGAGAAATTTAACTTTCAGAGCTGTACATAGCCGGGGCGTGTAGAAATCCCGTTTTTACCAATACCGAAACCACTGGATGTTATTTTAAAATAAAGCGCGTGAGAAGCCAGGCGGCCTGCCTCTCCCTGGGGGGGCCGGGGGGGGGGGACCTGCCTCTCCTGGGGGTGTTGGGGGGGGGGGGGGCCGGGAGGAGGGGGGGGCCGCCCCTCCCAGTGCGTTTAACCGAGGACAGTCGGGTCCTGGCCGGGCACTGGGGTCCATGTCCCCCCCCCCGCACCGTGTGTCGTCTCCCCCCGCTCCCTCCGGGGGGACCCTCCATTCCCCCCCCACCCGGGGTGGGGTCCCCGCCGTGGTTCCTCCCCCAGGGGACCCTCAGGTGTGTCCTGCCCTCCCCCCCCCCCCCGCATGCCGGGGACCCCATGTCGTGTCCGTGTCGTGTGTGTCGTGTATCCCCCCCCCCCCACCACCATCCGTCGTGACCCAGCGGGAGGGGAAAGGTCGCCCCGCGGTCACGAGTGACGCGAGCCGCGCGCTTCCGGTCACGTGGGAGGTGCTGGCGGAAGTGGGCGCCGGGCGCCGGGCGGAAGTCGGGCGGCAGCGGCGGGACGGACCGGCGGCCATGGAGGTGGGGGTGGGGACGAGGTGGGGGGGGGGGGGGGACCGGGGCGGACCGGGGACGGGGCGGGGGGCGGACCGGGGCCGGGGGTGCGGCCCGACCCGACCCGACCCGACCCGACCCGACCCGACCGACCCGACCCGACCCATGGCTGCCCGCAGGATCCCGGCCCCGGCCCCGGCCCCGGCCCCGGCTCGGCCGCGGAGAGCCCGGCGGAGCTGAGCCCCCCCGGCCTCGAAGGTGACACCGGGAGCGCCTGGGTGGTACCGGGCCCGTGAGGGGCCGCGTCCTTGGGGGTCCCGGTCCTGGGGCGCGGGGTGTCCCAAGATCTGAAGGGGGACTCGGAGCCCTGGGGTGGGATGTCCCGGGGTTTGGGGGTGTCCCGGAGCCCTGGAGTGGGATGTCTCGGGGTTTGGGGGTGCCCCGGAGCCCTGGGGTTTGGTGTCCTGAAGTTTGGGGTGCCCCGGAGCCCTGCGGTGGGGTGTCCCGGGGCTTGGGGTGTTCTGGGGTTTGGGGTGCCCTGGGGTGGAGTGTCCCGGGATTTAGGGTGCCCTGGAGCTCTTGGGTTTGGTGACTCAGGGTTTGGGGTGCCCTGGAGCCCTGGGCTGGGGTGTCCTGGGGTTTGGGGTGTCTCCTTGCTGCTGTCAGGCCCCTCACGCTGCCCGTCCCCAGGGGAGCCCCACCACGGCGCGTACACCACCTTCATGAAGTCCCATCGCTGCTACGATCTGATCCCCACCAGCTCCAAACTGGTCGTTTTCGACACCTCCCTGCAGGTGGGCTGGGGGGGGGGGGGGGGTGTGTGCAGCTTTGGGGCTGCGGGGGAGGGGCGCAGGGTGGGGACCGGGCTGGAGCCTGGGGGCTTAACTGGGACCAGGAGGCAGCTTTGGGGCTGGAGAACGGTCTTAGGGCTGTTCACCCACCCTGTAAAGGTTTTTCAAACTGGGGCAGAGGGATGGGGGTGGGCGGGGGGGGGGGGGTCCCTACTCCTAAGTGGGGTGCCCTGTCCCTCCCGTGACACCCCCGCATCCCCGGCCGCAGGTGAAGAAGGCTTTCTTCGCGCTGGTCACCAACGGCGTGCGGGCCGCCCCGCTGTGGGACAGCAAGAAGCAAAGTTTTGTGGGTGAGCGAGCGGGACAGGGGGGTCCCGGAGGGGGGGGGGGGGTCCCAGGGGGGGCCGGTGGGACCCCACTCACCCAGACCACCCCCCCAGGCATGCTGACCATCACCGACTTCATCAACATCCTGCACCGCTACTACAAATCGCCCATGGTAAGAACCGGGGGAGCTGCGCGGGGGCTCGTCCCCTCGGGGACCCCGTGTCCAGCCCCGGCTGATCCTGGTTTCCCTCCTTGCACCCAGGTGCAGATTTACGAGCTGGAGGAGCACAAAATAGAGACGTGGAGAGGTGAGAAGGATCGGTGCCGGCGTGCCCCCCGCCCCACAGCCCCGCGCCCCACCGGCCCCCTCAGCGTCTCCTCTCCCCACAGAGGTTTACCTCCAAGACTCCTTCAAGCCGCTGGTCTGCATCTCCCCCAACGCCAGGTACCCCCGCGCTGTGGGGAGGCGGGGGGCAGCACCCCCGGCTGTGAGCCCTGCCCTGATTCCCCCCTTCCCCTTCTGCCCCGCAGCCTCTTCGACGCCGTTTCCTCCCTGATCCGGAACAAGATCCACCGTTTACCCGTCATTGACCCCGACTCGGGGAACACCCTCTACATCCTCACCCACAAACGCATCCTCAAATTCCTCAAACTCTTTGTAAGTCCCGTCCCTTCCCCCGCGGCGGCGGGGGGGCCACGCCGGGCACCGCGGCGGTGCTGAGTGTGTGGGGGGGGGGACACGCACGACCCCTCAGGACCCCTCGTGGACCCCGCAGCCCGTCTCCGCCGCCTCCTCCCCGGGGTTCCCCCGCACCCCGCTGCGCACCCAGCGCTCTCTGCTTTCACTCCTAGGACCGCGGCCCAGGCCCCCCTGCAACCCGGAGCCGGCAGCACCGCGGGGCCTGGGGCGCTCCAGGCCGAGCCAGCGTCAGCACTGTCCCCCTCCCCGTCCCCTGCAGATAGCAGAGGTCCCAAAACCCGAGTTCATGGCCAAGACGCTGGAGGAGCTCCGCATCGGCACCTACAGCAACATCGCCGTGGTGCGGACCAGCACCCCCATCTATGTGGCGCTGGGCATCTTCGTGCAGCACCGCGTGTCCGCGCTGCCGGTTGTCGATGATTCGGGTAAGGATGGGGCGCGGCGTGCGCCGGTGGTCCCCAAACCGCCAGCTTGGGGTCCGCATCCCCCATGTCCCCCCCGCCGCTGCTTCCGTGTAGCCAGGGCGTACGGAAACCCGGCACCACGGACGCCTCACAGCCCTTCCCTTCCTTCCTTAGGGCGGGTGGTGGACATCTACTCTAAATTCGATGTTATTGTGAGTATTTGGGGGGGTGGGGAGGGGGCTGGGGGGGTGCTGGGGGTGGGGAAGGGGGGGTCCCACAGGGCCTGGCTGCGTCCCCAACGCTTCTTCTTGCTCCCAGAACCTGGCGGCTGAGAAAACCTACAACAACCTGGACGTGACGGTGACGCGGGCGCTGCAGCACCGCTCCCACTACTTCGAGGGCGTCCTCAAGTGTTACAAGCACGAGACGCTGGAAACCATCATCAACCGCCTGGTCGAGGCCGAGGTAACCGTCCTCCGATGCCAGGCAAGGAGTGGGGGGGGACGGGGTCCCTGCGCTGGCCTCAACCTGTCCTGTCCGTCCCCCCCACCCCCCAGGTTCACCGGCTGGTGGTGGTGGACGAGAGCGACGTGGTCAAGGGCATCGTCTCTCTCTCGGACATCCTGCAAGCCCTGGTCCTCCCGCAGGGCCCCTGAGGGGGTGGTGAGGGAGGGGGGGGGGGGTTCAGCCCCTCCTGGCACCACCACTCCCCCCCCACCCTCGTCTTCCTCTCCTGCCACGCTGTGCCCCGCCCCTACCCAGGGCTGGCGGGGACAGCCAGAGCGGGACCCCCACTCACCAGCAGCATCCAGCAATAACCTCCAGCTGTGGGGCAGCCCCACACTGCCCTTTCCTGGGGTGGGGAGAGCCCAGGGCTCCCCCCACACTGTACCCTGCGCCCCGAGGCTGAGGTGGCCGGGCTGGTGGGGGGCAGCTCCCATGCACCCCCCCCCCCACCCTGGGGTGCAGGGCCAGGTTCAGCCACCCCCGGGCCAGGGCTGTTCCCTGTGCGGACCCTCATCCCACCCTTCAACGTGGGATTTCACTGAGTTTGGTTTTAATCGCCCTCACTCAGCTCTATCCGGCCCTTGGGCCCCCCGCCCCGGGCCCCCCCACCCCACCGTGCCCCCCGCCAGGCCCCGTCTGCACCTGCCACTGCTTCGTGTGTGGAGAGAAACCGCGAATAAACACAGACCTGGCACAAACCCGGCCTCGCCGTGGGGCACGAGGGGGGCACCGGCCGTCGGTGCTGGGGGAGGGGAAGCCCTGAGAGGGGGTTCAGCCCCCCCACCCCCACCACTGTGGGTGAGGGGGAATCTGCTGAGCTCACCCAGACCCTAAATCCCTGTTTGTTCCGCCTGTGGCTTTTCTAAAAGGCCGGGATTGGGGACAGGACAGGGACGGGGACCCGGTGGGACGTGGGGACCCTCCCGCTGGTGGCTGCGGTGAGTGGGGGGCGTCAGGGCAGTGGCTGGGGCGGAGTGGCAGGGGGATGCCGGGGTCCCCGTGGGGTACTGGTGGGGGTCTCCAGCAGCCTGGACGCCCAGGTTCGCTGCTGGTGCCGCTCGGGGGAGGCGCGAGGCCCAGCTGTGCTGAGCGCGGCACATTCCCGGCCAGGGGGGAGGCCGAGCCGTGGCCCCCACCACCACCAGCTCCCGCCAGCCCCGGGGTCCGGCACAGGCTCCGGCACAGCGGTGCGAGGTGAGGGGGGCTTGGGGAAGCAGCAGCACGGGGCGGGGCGGGTGGGGGGGGGGGCTGGTGCTGTACTGGGGGCTGGTGCCGGTGCCGGTGCCGTTGCCATGCCGCCGCCGGAGGGTTGCTAAGCTCCGCTCGGAGCCCGCGTGGGCTGCAGCGCTCGGTGCCAAACCCGGCATCGCCTCGCTTTGTCGCAGGGGGGGGAAGGGATCCCTTGGGGGGGGGGGGGGGGGGTGAAGTGTGGGGTAGGGGGGGGTGCACCCCCGGGACAGCTGGCAGGGTCCCCACGGTGCGCCGGGCTCCTGCTTTCCCCCCGTGGCCACCGGCCTGGCAGTGCCACCAGGCAGGGCACGCTTTGGGGAGGGGGGGTGGTGGGGGGGGTGGGGGTTCCCCGGGGTGCACGTGCGGTTGGTTGGGCGCGTGGCTCCGCCGAGGCTCCCGGCGAGAGCGCAGCTGCTGGGTGCCGTGCGTGGTGTCCGTGTCCCGTGCCCCCCCTGCCCCCAGCCGCTTCCCTGCCACGGTGGGGACACCCCCCCCGCCCCGGTTTTTTTTCCCCGGGGCCATGCTGGGTGGTGCGGAGCGGGGCGCGGGGCGCCTGCGGATCTGCGAGCGGACCAAGCTGCTGCTGGTGGAGATCGACACGGTGGCGTGTTGCAGCCCGGCTGCCGGCATGGCCGCGGGGTGCCGGCCCGCACCCCCCTGGACCTACCGCCGCATCGCCGGGGAGTACGCGTAAGTGGGGGGACGGGCAAGGTTTGGGGGGGGGGGGGGGGGGGAAGAAGGTCCATTCCACGCCCCTACCCGGGCCGCCCCCACCCCAGCCCCCCTTCACGCCCCCTCCTCTCTGTCTTGCAGGTACCTGGAGAAGCGCTTCGTGGCAGAGCTGGCCCCCCCTTGGTCCCCGGCACCCCCTGCTCCCCCCCGCCGCCTCCAGGACTTCGGCAGCTCACCCCCCCCAGCGTGTGAGACCCAACCCCGGGCACCCCCCACCCGCTGCCCCCCGGGACAGCCTGAGGGGACGGGGGGGGGCAGCGGACCCCGGAGCCAGCACCCCCCTTGTCCCCCCCGCCCTCCGCTGCCAGGGAGCAGGCAGGGCCCCCCCACCTATGAAGCCCACATGCAGCGGGTGCAGGCAGCCCACACCCGCCGCGGTGGGCCCCCCCCTTACATCTCGCCCCCCGCCTATGATGCTCCCCACCGCACCCTGCAGCTCCGGCCTCCCCGGGGACCGCGGAGCCCCCCCCCAGCGCCCCGGGGCCGGGGGGCTGTGCCGGGGGGCTGGAGCCACACGCTGCCCCGAGCGGCCACCGAGGCCGGGCACCGGCGGCCCCGTGGGCTGCAGCCATCCCTGGGGGGGCCCAGCACCCCCCGGCACAGCCAGACGCTGCCCCGGGTGACAGCGGGCCGGGAGCGGGGGCCGGGGCACGGGAGGGGGCGGCGTGGGACGGGGGGGCACGTCCTCATCGATGCCACCCGCGTGGTGGTCCGGGCTCAGTACGTCCCCCCCCCACAGCGGCAGCAGGTTCACTATGCCGGGGGGTCGCCAGGGCCCATCGCACCCCCGGGCAGCCCCCCCAGCGCTGGCACCCCTCCAGCAGCACCTGACCCCCCCCGGGACCCCCCCCAGGGGTCCCCCGGCAGCCCCCGCGTTCCGTGGCAGAACCCGGGTGGCTGCGGGGGTCCCCGGGGCCGGCCCCCCCCGCGGCGGCCGGTGCTGTACGCCCAGGCGCTGCGCGAGGCCGTGTCCCGCATCCGGCGGCACACGGCGCCCGACTCCGACTCAGAGGCCGAGGGGGGGCCGGGGGGGTCCCGCTGGCGGCACTGCCGCGACGCCCATGCCTACAGCAGCAGCAGCAGCAGCCTGGAGAGCACCGGCCCCGCCCCGGGGGCTGCCAGCCCCCCCCGGGCTTGAAAGGTGGGGTCTGCAAGGGTGTGGTGCCCCCGGGGGGGGTGGGGCTTGGAGGGGTGTGGTCCAGCCTGGGTGGGGCTTCACAAGGTGTGGCCCTCGGGGGGCGGGGCTGCAGTACCCCAATAAAGGCTGCGGGATCCCGGTGCGCCGCCTCTGCCCCTTGTGTGTGCATGGTGAGGGGGGGGGGTCCGGCCCCACCCTGGGGAAGCCCAACACCCTCCCTGGCACCCCCACCCTCCCCTGCGCCCCCCCCCCATCCCAGCAAGGACCCCCCACCCCAGGCCCAGGGTCACTTGGAGGCCCTGGGCTTCCTGGCGGGCACCGCGATGCGTCACAGCAGGGGTGGGACGCACCAACCCCCCCCCCCCTTCTTTCCCTGGGTCCCCCGTAATGAGTAGGTGAGCACAGCAGGTCTGGCCCACAGCCACCAGCCCCACGTCACGGCCGGGGGGGGACCCCGGGTGAGTCACCGCGGGGAGGGGGGGGACCATCCCCCCCCCCCCCGACTGGCCTCCACCTCTTAGTCACGCTGCGGGGGGGGGGAGGATCCCCGCAGCCAGAGGAAACCGCACAAATAACGTGTCCAATTTGCACGTTATTTAAAACCGGCTCCTCCCCCGCCCCCCCTGCGCGACCCTGTCATTATCCCGGTGACACCGGCCGGGAGGTCACGGCACGGGGCAGCCGGCGCAGTGGGGGACCCAGGCAACCGGGGCCTCCCGGACTGGGGGGCTGCTCACTGGGCACCCCCCTGGCCACGTCACCCCACCCGTGGGTGCCTGGCACGGCACCGGGGTCCGTGGTTCTGATCTGAGCCCCGCCGGCATCCTTGTCCCACCACGGTCCTGCCCCAGGGCCTGGCACAGCCCAGCATGGCCCAGTGTGGTCTGGCACAGCTCTGTGTTGCCCAGCACATCTTGGTATGACCTGGCACAGCTCGGTACATCTTGGCACAACCTGGCATAGCCTGGCACAGCTCAACACGGTTTGGCGCAGCCTGGTGCAGCTTGGCACAGCCCAGCATGGCCTGGAACAGCCCAGAGCGGTTCACAACAGCCCGGCACAGCCCGGCACAGCTCAGCACAGCTTGTATCAACTCAGTGCAGCCTGGCACAGCCCAGCACTGACTGGCACAGCCTGTACCAGTTCAGTGCAGTTCAACACAGCCCAGAACAACCTGGCACAGCTCAGCATGGCTTGGCACAGCTTGGCACAGCCTGGACCAGTTCAGTGTGGCTTGGCACGGCTCGGCACAGCCCAGAACAAGCTGGCACAGCTCAGCATGGCTTGGCACAGCCTGGCACAGCCTGTATCAGTTCACTGTGGCTTGGCACAGCTCGGCACAGCTTGGTACAGCTCGGCAGAGCCTGTATCAGTTCGGTGCAGCTCGGCACAGCTCGGCACAGCTCAGCACAGCTTGGCACAGGCTGGCACAGCTTGGCACAGACTGTATCAGTTCACTGTGGCTTGGCACAGCTCGGCACAGCTTGGTACAGCCTGGCACAGCTTGGCACAGCCTGTATCAGTTCACTGTGGCTCGGCACAGCTCTGCACAACCCGGCATGGCTCGGCACAGCCTGTGTCAGTTCGGTGCAGCCTGGCACAGCCCAGCACGGCTCGGCACGGCCGGGCACACTGCCCGGCGTGGCCCGGGGTGTCCCAGACGCGGGGGAAGGCGGCGCGGCCCTTTCCGTGGGCTCAGCTCCTGCCCAAACCCCTCCCGCTCCCCGCCGAGAAAATCACCTTCTAATTCGGGCAGCGCCGGCGCCAGCACCGCCCCCCCCGGGCCCCCCCCGGCCCCCCCCTCCTCCTCCCACCGCCCCCCAAAACCCGCCGCAGCCCGGGGTCCCCGCGGAAGGGGCAGCCGCGGGGGTGCGGACGCGTGGGACGGGGGGGGTCCCGCCCGGTTCTTTTGCCCCCGGCCCGGGGCGCGGTGCCACCCGCGGCCACCAGATGTCGCCGCGCAGCCGGTGACCGACCGGACCGGGGGCACCGGGGGGCACCGGGGGTCCTGCCCCGGGAGCGGCGGGGACGCGGTGGGGGGGACTCTGCCCCGCACATCGCGCTGCTCCCGTGGGTCCCAGCTAGGAGCGGGGGGTGGCCACGGCCACACAAGTGCCGGTGTCCCTGGAGAGCTGTGACCCACGTGTGTCACCAGTGCTGGTGGTGTCCCCGGAGAGGTGTGGTCACGCGTGTGCCGGTGATGTCCCCAGAGAGCCGTGGCCACGCATATGCGGGTGCTAGCCGTGTCCTCGAAGAGCCGTGACCCACGTGTGCAACCGGTGCTGGCCATGCCACGGCCCACGTGTGCCCGTGGCACCAGCCGTGTCCCCACGGAGCGGCGGCTCCTGCTTACACCCGGCTGCGTCACACCCGTGGGTAGCCGTGTCCCACCGTGCCAACCATGTCCCCACGCCACGGTGGCCGCCTGGTCCTGGCCACATCTCCAGGCACGGTGGCCACACGGTGCCGGCTCTCCTAGGCCGCGCGGAGGAGCCGGTGGGAAGGGGGTGCGCTGAATGCAGCATTGTTGCGCGGGGTTGGAGTCACAGATAATTACCTCAATTAGTTACAATGGCAGAGTAATAAATACAGGCTTAGCGGCTCCTTCCCCACTGCGGCTTCTCAGATTAATCCAGCCCGGGCGAGCGGAGCTGAAAGGAGTGATGGACAATTCATTAAACTCGCCGAATGCCGCACAAGGCACCCGTGAAGGCCGGCGTTAGCCCCCGGCGGCTCCGGCTTTGTCCCTAATTGTTCGTCTCGGGCATTGGTCACCTATCGGGGAGTGGGTGACGGCGACGGTCCCCCCGGGGCTGGCATGCCCGGGGATTAGAGGCCAGCCCTGCCACGGTTGCTGGGCGCGCTGGCCCCGAGCCGGAGGAATGCGGCGGCCGGTGGCGGGGGGGGGGGGGGGGCGGCCGGACAAGCCGGGCGCTGGCGGGACGCGGGTCCGCGCCGACCGGAGGCGAGGGGAGCCGGGCCGGGGCTGTGCCGCTGGCGACGGTTAACGGGGTGTGGGATGGGGACGGGATGGGGACGGTCCCGCAGGTGAGCTGGTGCCACTGGGCATGGCTCCGTCTGTCTGTCCTGCACCTCTGGAAACGACCCTGTCGCTCTGTCCTGCACTTCTGAGTGCTGTCCTGTCCTTCTGTCCTGAAATTTTGGGCATTGAACCATCCCTCTGTCCTGCACCTCTGATCCTGGCTCTGTCCCTCTGTCCCGCACCTCTGGGCACTGTCCTGTCCCTCTGCTCCTGGCTCTGGCCCTCTGTCCCACACCTCTGATCCCGGCTCTGTCCATCTGTCCTGCACCTCTGGGCACTGTCCTGTCCCTCTGTCCTGTCCCTCCGCTCTTGGCTCTGTCCCTCTGTCCCACACCTCTGGGCACTGTCCTGTCTGTCTGTCCTGTCCCTCTAGGCATTGTCCCGTCCCTCTGTCCTGCACCCCTGGGCATGGCTCGCTCTGTCCCGCACCCTGGGCAGAGCACCCCCTCACCCCAGCTCTGGTGGGGGGCCCCAGCCCGCCACAGGCCTGGCTGGCGGCCACTATCCAGCTGTTACCCAGCTTCCCAGATGTGACGGGCTGGCACTGGGCGGGGCCGCCCTCCCCGTCCCCGTCCCTGTCCCTGTCCCTCTCCCCAGCCCTGCGCCGGCCCCGGCGCTGCGACAGCGGCTATTTCCAGCGCCCGGGCGTATTTGTACAAGCCGGGGAGGTCTGCAGCCGGGCACCCACCCCGCACCCGGGGTGCCCCTACCCGCCAGGGGGTCGCGGCTGCCCGAGGTGCCCGGCAGTCACCGGAGTGCAGGAAAAGCTGAGTAACAGAGGTGACTTATAAGAATGTCATTATCTATATTCCTGACTCGCTACCGCAGGAAAACAGGCTATTTTCATGCCCTGTGCGTGTGCAGAATTTAGCAGGCAGATAACTCCCGGCAGGCGGGAGATGCTCGGAGGGTTATTTCGGGCTGTGTTCCTTTCCAGTCGTTTTTTCTCGCATTTCTTTATTTTATTTCGCCACGCCAGGCTGTGTTTTTACCTTGGCATGGACAGCGGGGGCCCCCGGGTTTTTTTTCCCCCCTCCTCCTCTGGGTCTAAACATCAACTTTTCCACTATCGGCTCCGGGGGATATTTTGGGCGGTGGCAGCGTCATCCCGCAGCCTTTGATGCCGCGGGTCCCCAGGGGCCCCGTGAGGTTCCCGGCTCTGGCCGCGGGGCAGCCCAGACTGCGGGGACCCCCACTGCAGGGGGGTGCGGATGGGACTGGGGGTCCCCAGGCAGGGACGACTCCCTTCCCACTCCCCATGGCTGGATGTCACCGTGGCCCCGGGGTTCACCCCGCGATGGACGTGGGGACTTCGCCCTGCCCTGTCCCCAGGGTGTGGAGTTCCAGTGTGGAGGGTGCACGTGAGCCCCGCGCCCACCCCGGGGGATGCCCGTCCTGGGGGGATGCCCACCCTGGTGGGATACCCATCCCAAGGGGATGCCTGTCCCAGTGGGATGCCTGTTCTGGAGGGATGCCCTTCCCAGGGATGCCCATCTTGGGGAGATGCCCACTTCTGTGGGATGCTTATTCCAGGGGAAAACCCATCCCGGGGCGATGCCAACCTCAGGGATGCCCATCCCAAGGGGATGCCCATCCTATGGGGATGCCTGCCCCAGTAGGATACCCACCCCAGTGGGATGCCCATGCCAGGGGGATGCCTGTCCCAGGGGGATGCCCTCCCCACAGGATGCCCATCCCGGGCGGATACCGATGCCAGCGGGGGCACCTGCCAGCCGCAGAGCTGTACCCCACCTTTGCCCCAACCTTTCTCTGGTTGCAGCCAGACCCCACGCAGGAGTACAAGGCTGCGTGTGGGGCCGGTGGCCGGTCCTGGCCCCCCTGGCCCCAGCCCCAGTAACCTCGGTGCCCTCCCCAGCCCCCCTCCTCCCCCAGAACCGAGGGGAGCCGTCAGCCCCGGCCGGGAGTGGTGATGGACGATGCTCATTCCCTGTCTGCCGTCTTGTACCTCCCGTGGCCGCTCCCAACTCCCGGCCCCAGCGGCACCAGCCCCACCGCCCCGGCA